GTTATTTATTAATTCTTCACTATTTATTCTTTCATTCAAACAATGGGTAAACACAAAAAAGTCTTTGCACTTGATGCCCCTCTCCCAAATTTCCAAATGGCAACAAATTTACTCAAAGAAGACAGATCAGAAAGTTCTGATACTAAATGTGTTACAAATAATATTCAAGATGCTGCACAAATTAAAGCTTCCTATTATCGCGAAAAAGCCAAGGTCAAGAATACTGAAAAATCTACTAAAAGTTGGATTGTAAAATTTGAAGAATTCTGTGCTTGTGCTGGTTACTCAGTTTCTTTAACTGACCTTGATGATATCTCTCAACTTCAAAAACAAATTGTAGAATTCATTTCTACAATGAAAAAGAAAGATGGTAGTGAATATAAAGCAACATCAGTTAAACAATCTGTTGATGCACTCAATAGATACCTTCTTCATCATTCACCTGTTTTACAAGTTAATTTGCATGATAAGTATATGTTTCCTGATTTACATAATGTCTTACATGGGAAATTGCGCAATCTTCAAGAACATGGCTTTGGCGAAACATCAGGTTCAATTGCTATTAATCCTCAGCAAATTCAACAAATTTTACAACATCCCAAAATGGCTATAAGTAACCCTGAAGGTCTTTTGTACCATGTTTTTTTTTGCTTATCAATCATACTTGCTATGTGTGGAGGAGAACATTATCAACTAAAAGTCAATCAATTTAAATCTGACGGTCATAATGGCTTGCAATTTTTTCGCTACATATCTAAGAATAATCAATGTGGAATTCAAGGAGGCCAGGCTCATGTTATTTCAATACCTGCTAATGATAATGGACCATGTTCAGACATTCAATTATATTTATCTAAACGCCCACCTTCAGCTGATGAAAACTTTTATTTGCAGCCTAATCCATCTTGGTTAGAAACTGGTATTTGGTACAGAACAGCTCATGTGGGAAAAAACAAATTAGGCAAATTTATGCAAAAAATTGGATGTGAAACCCAAACTGATATTCCCATTGAATTGCTTTCTAATCATTCTGGATGTAAAACTGCTACTCAAGTTTTACAAGATCAAGAAATTCCTGAACAAGCTATTATGCAACTTACTGGACATAAAAGTGTTCAAGGAGTTCGAGCTTATAAAAAAGTTAATGAAAAACAACAACTCAATACTTTAAATACATTGATTAATATTACTGTAAAAGATAATTTAATTAATGATGATGATTCAAAATCACAAATTCCTCTTAAAGAAAATTCTTTATCTTTGAATTCTTATTCTTTAGATGAAATACCTATATTTCACAATTGTACTCTTTCAAATGTTAATTTTTATATTCAAAAATAATTATTACATTCTTATCATTATGTATAAATGAAAAGTTTAATTAATGCAATTTAAATAAAGTAAAAGATAGATATGTTTTATAGTTATTTTTTATTTAAATATTACTTTGTCCATGAAAATATCAGTAAAAAAAGCCACGGGCGACTGATTAGGAACCGTGGAATAA